ACAAAATAAACACACTTATGGACAAATAAAAACAGTAATTATGCTGTTTTTATTTGTCCATAAGTGTGTTTATTTTGTTTTCCTCTAGAGTGTTTATATTTTATTGTAGTGCAGTGTGTTTTATCTTTTATTCTCTAATTATTTTACCTGAGTGGCTGCAGCTGTAATAACTGTCATTTCCCTCGGGGATAAAGAATTAAAATATTTTTTTCTCAAAGATTTTAATTTTAAAAACTCAGCATAACTTCTATAATATCTGATTAAATTTGGTTTGTTTTCATGCAATCAGAAGAACACAGTGAGAACTGCATTTCCTTCATTAAAAATCGATGCATCAAGAAAGGAAATATTGCGATATTTCAGCGTATCGAAATTTTCTTACACCCCTATTAAAAGTTGTGCGACCACTTAAAGTTACAAACGTAGCTCTTAAAGTAAGGAGATTAATGTTTTGTAATTTTTTTCTTTGTTGTAACAATGCTTCTTGGTAATAAATCATGTTTCATTGGAAAAGTTGTTAGTTTCCCTTTTAAATGGAGCCACATTTGGAAGGAACATGCATTTGTGGGTTGAGCTCCGGCTGCTGCTAATTAGATTTATTGCCAAGAAGCATTGTTACATCAAAGAAATAATCATCCAAACACTCATTTCCTTATTTTTTTGTGCAAAGTATAGTTGAAACGATAACAAGACCCTCGTTTTCCAGCGACCTTTGGCCTACAAATGTTTTAAAAACCATCTGAGCCTGGTTCTTTGGATTATTTTGAATCAATCAGGAAGTAGTAAAGAAACCAGTTCTGAAACATTGTTTCGGGGACGAGGTTCATCCAGGGAAGGCTCCAAGGTGTCGTCCACTCGCTACAAAAAGAAGAAGCCAAAAAACCAGATGAAACCACGTGCTTTAGCTGTTTTCTAACCGAACCTGACTCCTGATGCTAACTGTTGCTAACACCACACTGAACAACGTGATAGAATTCATATGTTTTGTCTGAAATGATGTTTTAGTTAAAAAGCTCAACATGAGATAGGAGTGGGATTATTTGTGTGTGGTTGTGTGTGTGGCCTTGTTTTTCCTACATTGTGGGGACAATTTTCCCAAAGAAGCAGCCTCGTGGGGACCGAATGTGCATCGAAATGCAAATTACAGGTGGGGGTGGGGTTTAGGTTTAGGACCAAGGTGTGAATTAAGTTTAGGTTAGTTTTATGGTAAATGGTCAGGGTTAGGATACAAACTCTAAAAAGACTTGAATGGAAGTCAATGCACGGTCCCCATGGGGTTCAAGAACAAATGTGTGTGTGTGTGTACTTGTTTTGACTACAAAGTGAGGACCATTTGCACCATAGTTAATTTCTAAATGAGGTCTTTGATGTAAAGTGAGGACCTCTTCAATGTCCTCACTTTTTTGCAGCTCTGCTGTGTTTTACTAGTTATGTTTAGAGGTGTGAGTTAAGTACTGGTTCAGGTTAGAGTTAACTATCGACCAGTAATGGTTAGTTTTACTAGTTAGGTTTAGAGGTGTGAGTTAAGTTCTGGTTCAGGCTAGAGTTAACTATAGACCAGTAATGGTTAGTTTTACTAGTTAGGTTTAGAGGTGTGAGTTAAGTTCTGGTTCAGGCTAGAGTTAACTATAGACCAGTAATGGTTAGTTTTACTAGTTAGGTTTAGAGGTGTGAGTTAAGTTCTGGTTCAGGCTAGAGTTAACTATAGACCAGTAATGGTTAGTTTTACTAGTTAGGTTTAGAGGTGTGAGTTAAGTTCTGGTTCAGGCTAGAGTTAACTATAGACCAGTAATGGTTAATTTTAGGGAAAATTTCTGGGTTAGACAAACAGTTACAAAAATGAATGGAGGTCAGTAAAAAGTCCTCAGTTTGATGCAAATACAAGGATGTGTGTGTGTGTGTGTGTGTATGTGTGTGTGCGTGCGCACACGCTGGCTTTAAATAGCTAACTCAAATAAAGGGAGAGCAGGCCGAGGGAAGGCCGAGGCATTCTCGAATGGAAGCAGTGAGCGACGCCAGAAACGTGATGGAGGAAAGCACCTTGTCACCAGGTGCTGGCATGACAGGAAGTGCAGCAGGAAGTACAAAAGTAGGGTCATCTGGGGGGAGGGGGGGCAGAAGATGGCGTCGGGTGACTCAGCAGACTCTGCCAGGGGGAAAGCGGAGCCTCTATCAACCCCAAGAATCTGTGCAGCCCTGAAAAGACGACACGACTCCCCCTCTGAAACGAGCTTTTTCTCATCCGCTCACTTCTTCTTCTTCTTCTTCTTCTTCTTCTTCTTTTACACACTGTGTTAAATTTCTATTCTTTCTCATCCCTTTTACCTTTTGACGGCCTTCTTTGTGTGCAGGCTGTGGGAAAGTTTCCCGTAATGGTGAGGTCATCCGCCACCGAAAGCCACCCCCCACCCCTCATGAACACACACACACACACACACACACACACACACACACACACACACACACACACACCATCACTGCACCCCTCACCCTCTACTCTGCCCCCCTCTCGCTCCACCAACCCCCTCAGGCCCGGCAGGACGGCAGTGTCCCCACATCTCTGCCACACTTTTTTCACACACCTGAGCCTCACCTGGAGGTGCATCAGGTGTTCACACCACCTCCTCGTCTCCTGACACGTGCACTCCACGTGCACACAAACACATTCTGACAAATCTGCTCTGAAACCAAACAGCAATTTGCCCTGAAACCTCCCAAAGTTTCCACTCAGAGTACAAAACTGTCTCTTTACTGCCACCTATTGGCAAAACATGCAAACTACATCACATGTAACAATAAAACGTTCAGCTTGAGTGATGTAAAAATCATGATTTAAAGATTTGAAATTAATTTTACGACTTTTAAAAACAAACCAAGTGCTAAATCGGAGAGAAAAAGAATAAAACTACGACTACTTCCTGTGAAAATGCCAGTGTGAGTGCTTATTGTGRAAACCTTTAAGTGAAAGCTGGAGCTGAAAATGTTTAATAGCAAAACAGCTGATGCAAGTTCATCTTGAAAAGTTTCACTTTGCAGAAAAATAGCTGAAAAGGCAGAAAAAAAATCTAATGTTAGCTTAAAAGCAAGCTAAAGGTAGTAGGTCTAATGAGCAGAAAGAAGGCATGAAAGTACAAAAAAGTGACAATTTGTTGTAAAATAGCTAAAACAGCCAAAATGTAGCTGGAATTTCCAAAATTAGCATAAGGAAGCATAAAGAGTACAAGTTTGAATGAAGCAGAGAGACGCTGAAATACTCGCATAAAAGTGAAATTAGCTTAATAAAGCTAGTTTAAGCTAATAACAGCTGAACATTAGCTAAACTTGCAGAAAGCAAMTGTAAGAAGCAGCATAGAAAGATCAAATTGGCAGAAAGAAACTAAAAAGTAGAAAATAGCAGAAAGAAGCTAAAATTAGCATCAAACAAGCTAAAGGTAGCAGGCACAAGTTAAAATTAGCACCCAGGTGGTAAAAGAGGTATAAAAATGTCAAGTTAGTAGAAAAAATAAATAAAAGTACAAAACAGTGATCATTTGATGTAAAATTGCTAAAACAGCCAAAATGTGCAGTAAAACAGCTAAAATGTATCTGGAAATTCTTAAATTAGCATAAGGAAGCATAACGAGCACAATTGCTGAACTAAGGAGACAGAAGCTGAAAAGGCCACCAAAATGTGAAATTAGCTTAAAAAAAAAGCAAACTTTAGCTAATAACAGCTGAACATTAGCTAAAATTSCAGCAAATAGCTGAATTTAACTGAAAGCAGAAACAGAAATGGCTCAAAATAACAGAAAGAAACAACAAGTAAAAAATAGCAGAATAGAAGAAACAGAGTTATAACTGAAATAGGAGACAAAAGCTAAAATTAACATAAAAGTAGCTAAAATTGGCATAAGGAAGGTAAAAAGAGCAGAAGCAGAACAAAAGGTGTAAGGTGCTGTAAAGATTTAGAAACATTTTGAAGGATTTTAAAGATGTTGAAAACAGCTCCATTCATTTTCAAAGGGAAAAAAGTGGCCAAAAATGAGAAACAGCTAAAAAAGTATAAATAGCTGAAATACCAAAAGTCATAGAATAATCAGTGAATATGATTTGTTGAAATAGCACAAAAATTGTGTACCGAAATACGTGTCAAAAAAACATATGGAAGAAAACATGATGTCAACAAATAAAATAAAACAAGTTGGAGACGAGAAAAGAGCTGCACATAAAATATATTCAGGTTAACGTTAGTACATGTAGGCACATAAAGTAGTGGCTCTCAATAAAATATGCAATATAATTTCTTAATACTCTCATGTACAAAAATATATAGCAGGTATATTTAGAAAAAGCAATTTTTACACAACTTTAATATGGGATAAATATAAAAATACACAATAAATCAGTCCAGAAAATTCTTTTTTTGTTGTTGTTGGTTTTAACCTAATTATTCTGTGATTACTTATTAATTACAGCTAAAACATAAAAGTTCATAAAAACCTCTCCAGTGATGAAGAACATTTGTTTTGACAAAAGTAAAGTTCATGTTTTTTGACCAGAAGCTCCAGAAACAAACTTGTTAAAACGTATAAATTAGAGTTGGGCGCCCTCTGCTGGTGGCAGCGTCCTGCAGCGCAGCTGGACTTTATTTTACTTTATTTCTCCGTCAGTTTCTTCCATCGACGTCACTTCTTGTGCGAGCCGATCATGACCTTGGAGACGAAGTTGACGATGGCGCTGGCCGGCTGCTCCGGGTCGTGCTCKGCGAACAGGTGGCACACGTTTTCTGTCTCGCTCTGAGACTTCCTGGCTACGAAGCCGAAGATCCTGGAAGATGAAGATGAAGAGCTGGTTTCATTTAAAGGGTTTGGTTGCAGCTAAAACATTAAATCTTTGAGTTCTGAAGATGATGATGATGAAGGTAAATTATACAGTAGTTTAGAACAAAGAACCACATGAATCACAAAATACTGACTTTGAGCATTRATGACTGTAAAAAACTAAATCTGTCCACATAAAAACAAACAATGTTAAAACTTAACTGGGTGAATGTTTATAAAGCGTTCCCATTGAGATGAGCCATTTTTCTTACGTTTGTTTTTTGACACGGAAGTCGTTCCACAGTTTTTGTGCTGTTTCAAYAATTTACACATTAATTCAGCYATAACTTTTGGTATTTCAGCCACTCAATTATTTTTYAGCCATGTATCATTTTTGGCCACGTTTATCTCATTACAAAGAGTGGAGGTGTCTTATATCCTTAGATCCTTTTGTTCTGCTTCTGCTTATTTGTAACTTCAGATTTCTTCGGCTTATTTTTTATTAGCTTTGTTTTGTTATGTCAGCTATCTTCCTGCTAAATTCATTTTTTTCTGCTTCTTTCAGTTGATTGTTGCCATTTTCAGCTGTTTTTTGCCTTTAAAGTTACTTAGCTGATTTCAGMTAATTTTTTTCTGCTAACTTCACCTTTTGCGATAATTTCAGCTTCTTTAATTCAGCAAACATTCTGTTTCTGCTTCTTTGCTATTTTCAGCTACCTTTTTAGCTATTTTCGGCTTGTTTAAGCTTTATTAGCTATTTTGTCACAAATTTTAACTTTTTTTGAGCTTCTTTCTGCTATTTTCAGCTGTTTTCTGCCTTTTAAGCTACATTTTAGCTGATTTTAGCTAATTTAATATTTTTTTCTATTTTCACCTTTTGCGATAGTTTCAGCTTCTTACGGCTTCATTCAGCAAACATGCTCCTTCTGCTTCTTTGCTGTTTTCAGCTTGTTTAAACATTGTTAGCACTTCTTTCAGCTAATTTATGCTATTTTCAGTTGTTTTCTGCCTTTTAAGCTACGTTTTAGCTGATGTCAGCTGATTTAATCTTTTTTGTACTAACTTCATCATTTGCGATAATTTCAGCATCTTACTGCTTAATTCAGCAAACATTCTGTTTCTGCTTCTTTGCTATTTTCAGCTTGTTTAAGCTTTCTTTTTGCTATTTTGTCACAAATTGTAACTTTTTGTGCTTCTTTCTGTTATTCTCAGCTGTTTTCTGCCTTTTAAGCTACATTTTAGCTGATTTTAGCTAATTTAATATTTTTTTCTATTTTCACCTTTTGCGATAATTTCAGCTTCTTACGGCTTCATTCAGCAAACATTCTGTTTCTGCTTCTTTGCTATTTTCAGCTTGTTTGAGCTTTCTTTTAGCTATTTTGTCACAAATTGTAATGTTTTGTGCTTCTTTCTGCTATTCTCAGCTGTGTTCTGCCTTTTAAGCTACATTTTAGCTGATTTCAGCTGATTTAATCTTTTTTTTACAAACTTCATCGTTTGCAATAATTTCAGCTTCTTACTGCTTAATTCAGCAAACATTCTGTTTCTGCTTCTTTGCTATTTTCAGCTTGTTTGAGCTTTCTTTTAGCTATTTTGTCACAAATTGTAATGTTTTGTGCTTCTTTCTGCTATTCTCAGCTGTGTTCTGCCTTTTAAGCTACATTTTAGCTGATTTCAGCTGATTTAATCTTTTTTTTACAAACTTCATCGTTTGCAATAATTTCAGCTTCTTACTGCTTAATTCAGCAAACATTCTGTTTCTGCTGCTTTGCTAATTTCAACTACTTTTTTTAGCTATTTTCAGCTTGTTTAAGCTTTCGTTTAGCTATTTTGTCACAAATTGTAACTTTTTGTGCTTCTTTCTGCTATTCTCAGCTGTGTTCTGCCTTTTAAGCTACATTTTAGCTGATTTAAGCTAATTTAATGTTTTTTTTCTATTAATTTCACCTTTTGCGATAGTTTCAGCTTCTTACTGCTTAATTCAGCAAACATGCTCCTTCTGCTTCTTTGCTATTTTCAGCTTGTTTAAACATTKTTAGCACTTCTTTCAGCTAATTTATGCTATTTTCAGTTGTTGTCTGCCTTTTAAGCTACATTTTAGCTGATTTCAGCTGATTTAACCTTTTTTCGTACTAACTTCATCGTTTGCGATAATAACAGCGTCTTTCTGCTTAATTCAGCAAACATKCTSYTTCTGCTTCTTTGCTATTTTCAGCTACTTTTAGCTATTTTCAGCTCGTTTAAGCGTTTTTTAGCAATCTTATTACAAATTGCAACCTGTTTAAACTTCACTTGTTTTCTGCTTATGTCAGCCTTTTTTTTTACCATCCTTTAACCATCTGTTTGATAAATACATCTCTTTTTAAGCTATTTTTAGCTTTGTTCAGCTGTTTCGACACATGTGTGCTATTTTTTGCTACTGATTTTCCCCTTGTTTTCCCTGCTTTCAGCAAATGGCAGCTCTTCAAATTGAACAGTTTTTGTTATAAAACTTTTTCAGCTTTTTCAGAAATTTTCAGCTGAAATCTTAAGTGTTCGCATTTCATTTGCTCAGGAAATGCAAATTCTCTAGTTTCCCTACTTTTATTTTGTAAACATTTCGGCTCTTCATATTTCAAATTTCTCCTTTTACTGTGCTTCTTATTTCTGTAACTGAAATAATTTTACAAATGAAAACGATGGCAGAGCGCGCTGCATCAGTGCAAACATGGGTTCTGTGCATTATTTCACATTAATCAGAGAAAAGCCTCTGAAACGGACTTACTTTGCAGTGGAGCCGCTGTCTCTGGTCCACCTGTTTGAGAGAGATTAAAACAGTTTGATTAAAAACCCTGAAGATTCAGTGTTTGAGGTGAGTTTGTGACAGAAATACGAGCTGGTTTTATGAGTCTGCGGTGCCTGAATTCATCATAAAATAATGCATTTATGCAGTTATGTTAGTATTCATCACTCACTTCCTCCCCTGTGGGTCCAAAGAGCAGAATATGACGGTGTTGACGGCGTAGTGTCTCCTGAAGAACAACCTGCAGAGACAAACGTGTGAAGGCTTCAACCTGATATTTGCTGAGTCATGGTTTTTGTTTGTGTTTTTTTTCTCCCCCCCGCAGTCAAAGACTCACTTCCTCTGGTTGTCGGTGAGGGTGATCCCCTGAGCCGACACCTTGAAGTGGACGACGGTGGAGGGCGGCGGTGGGTCGACGGAGAGCGTGGCCGTGGTGGCCTTCTGGACCGCCTGCTGCCCCGTCAGAGACTCCATCTCCACGGAGCCGAGGTACCACACGTTACACGCTGCCGACACACGGTTTAAAGGAGGGAATCATCAAAAAAAAAAAAAAAATTATGTGCATGTTTAAAATGAAAACAAACGGTGTTACCTGCGCCCTGTTTGAGGAGCTCGGCTGCAGAGTTGGTCGCCGTTTGCGCCGAGGTGTCGTTCAGCTCCTCCAGTGGGTCTGTGCGGAACAAAAAACAAAACAAAAAAACAACAACACGTCAGATGATTTGAAACGACACGCAGAGTGGGATTAAAAACCRTGGCGCTCACCTCTGTCGGGCAGGATGAGTTTACACGGCAGAGCCAGCGGGGTGATGGAGTGCTGACACACCAGAGCCGTCAGACTTCCTAACGGGAAGCAGAAAACAAAACATGGCTGCACTGAACKGTTCTCACCAGCAGGGGGCGGCAGAGGGAAACATGGTGAAAACTGAACCTGCTGCGGGGCATTTAGTGGATGTCAGACTGCAGGTTCTCACCAAAGTACGGCTCGTTGGGGCAGCCTTTGAGGCGAACTCCTTTTGCCGTGCACTCGATCAGGAAGTGCCTCACCAGTTCGTTGGACAGATCTCCTCCTGCAAATTTCAGTTAATGTTTTAGGAAACGGATTCACAGCTGAAACGAACAGCTGGAGGAAGGAATCGGCTCGTGTAGATGTTCTGAAAAAGTTAAAAAATGTCACCAACACATTCTCATTTAGTTCACTTTCTCAGGGAAAATCCTTATTAAATGTTCCGCTAACATTTTATTATTTAGCTCATTGTTCTTACATTATGCTAATTTTTTACTAAATGTTAAAGTTATATGTTATGTTTAGTCTAAATGTTAACACCTAAATATAAAAGACAAACCCTAAATGTTGTGAATAAAGTAGTTCACATTTAAGTATGTCAGAATGGAACTCAGCCCTTACTGTTGGTCTTCGGCTCTTGTTAYGAAATTTTTATCCAGCGACAAAAGCAAGTGCTAATGCTGCTAACACTGCAAATGCTGCTAATGCTGCTAATGTTGCTAATGATGCTAATGTTGCTAATTCTGTTAATGCTGCTAACACTGTTAATGCTGCTAACACTGTTAATGCTGCTAACACTACAAATGCTGCTAATGCTGCTAACACTGCAAATGCTGCTACCACTGCTAATGCTACTAATGCTGCTAACACTGTTAATGCTGCTAACACTGCAAATGTTGCTAACTCTACAAATGCTGCTAACACTGCTAATGCTGCTAACACTACAAATGCTGCTAATGCTGCTAACGCTGCAAATGCTGCTACCACTGCTAATGCTGATAATGCTGCTAACACTGTTAATGCTGCTAACACTGCTAATGCTGCTAACACTGTTAATGCTGCTAACACTGCAAATGTTGCTAACACTACAAATGCTGCTAACAATGCTAATGCTGCTAATGCTGCCAACACTACAAATGCTGCTAACATTGCTAATGCTGCTAACACTACAAATGCTGTTAACACTGCAAATGCTGCTAACACTGCAAATGCTGCTAATGATGCTAATGCTGTTAATGCTGCTAACACTGTTAATGCCGCTAACACTGCAAATGCTGCTAACACTACAAATTCTGCTAATGCCAGCACTACAAATGATGCTAATGCTGCTAATGCTGCTAGCACTGCAAATGCTGCTAATGCTGTTAATGCTGCTAACACTGCTAATGCTGTTAATGCTGCTAACACTGCTAATGCTGCTAACGCTGTTAATGCCGCTAACACAGCTAATGCTGCTAACACTGCAAATGCTGCTAACACTATAAGTGATGCTAATGCTGTTAATGCTGCTAACACTGCAAATGCCGCTGCTAACACTGCTAATGCTGCTAATGTTGCTAGCACTGCAAATGCTGCTAATGCTGCTAACGCTGCTAATGCTGCTAACACAGCTAACGCTGCTAACACTGCGAATGCTGCTAATGCTGCTAACACTGTTAATGCTGCTAACGCTGCTAATGCTGCTAATGATGCTAATGCTGTTAATGCTGCTAACACTGTTAATGCTGCTAACACTGCAAATGCTGCTAACACTACAAATGCTGCTAATGCTGCTAACGCTGCTAATAATGCTAATNTTAATGCTGCTAACACTGTTAATGCTGCTAACACTGCAAATGCTGCTAACACTACAAATGCTGCTAATGCTGCTAACGCTGCTAATAATGCTAATGCTCTTAATGCTGCTAACACTGTTAATGCTGCTAACACTGTTAATGCTGCTAATGCTGCTAACACTGCAAATACTGCTAATGCTCCTAACACTGCTAATGCTGCTAATTCTGATAGCACTTACCTAAAAGGTGTCCAAGCTGCACTTCAAAATGACCAACCAGAGGTACCATCCATATTGTTTTTAATGAACAGATATTGAATTTAAATTTTAAATGCCATCTTCAGTAGCGTTAGCAATGCTAGCGTTGGGTGTCATCATCCTGTTACAAAAGAAACTGTTAATACTAAGTTAAGCATTAATAGAGTTAACAGAGTAAGCAGCATTAGCAGAGTTAGCAGCATTAGCGGTTGGTTTTGTCATAAGATGATGTCATAACGAGAGCCGAGGGCAAAGGCTGCATTCCRTTCGGAAATACTTCACAGTAAACTTTAACATATAGCCACATTTACTTTTATCTCTGACGTTTAGATTTACAAATTCAGATTTAACATTTAGATTTAACATTTAGTAAAAACGATCAAAATGTAAGAACAGTGAGCCAAATAATTAAATATTAGTGATTTTTTTTAACCAGGATTTTACTCTCAGAAAGTGAACTAAATAATGAAAATTTGTTAGTAGCATTTTTATTTTACACTTGGACGCCTCATAAATGGACGATTAAAACGTACGCACCTTTCTTACTGTGCTGTAAGACAGTGGGAGGGGGCGTGGCCACCTTCATGGCCAGGCCGTACGCCCCTCGGAACGAGTGGCTGTCCCTGACGATGAACGAGCCGGGCTCCTTGTCCTTCAGCACCGCGATGGCTGTTGGGTGGAGTCGGCAGAGAGGGGCTGAGGTTAGGAGGAAAACTTTGAACAGGCGTGTATTTTCTGCCCCTACACCAATATTTACCCTGGTCCCTGGAAATGTCGGGCTTGTACCAGAACTTAGACGTGTCCTGGACAAACTTCACCTTGTTACAGCCAGAGTCTGAAAGGCACAAATCAAGGATTTCTTTTACACGACTTCAATAAAACTCTTTAATTGGTCCCGCCTCTAATTGGGTCAGGGTACCTTCTCCAGGTGACTGGGCCCCACCGAGTCCTCTGATTGGGTCGGGGGTCATGGGGGAGGAGAACCTCGTGCTGAAACTGCTGTCGCTGTGGGGGCTGGGGAACCCGCCCAGCGACGGTGAGTGCGATCCGAGCTCCCTGGCCTCGAAGGTCCTCCTCTTCTCGGGCAGCAGCGGCGTCAGACTCAGACCCCCGAACCCCTCCACGGCTTCCAGCAGGCCGTGGTCCAGACCACCGTTCCCAAACAACAACAACGAGGACAGGTCCTCGCCATCGGCCCCGCTGCCGGCCTCCGGGCCCCTCGGAGCCCCCCGGGGAGAGCTTTGGGTGTTGGGGGAGCTCAGGGATATGGGGGGTGAAGGGTGAGGCGGGTATGGGGAGTTCGGGGTTCTGTCGAGCCACACCGGAGGGGGGGAGGAGCTACAGAGGGGAGGAGACAGGAAGTGGAGGTAAATACTAGGGGTGTAAGAAAATATCGATACACTGAAATATCGCAATATTTCATTTCCCGATACTGTATCAATATTCTAAGGCCCTGTATCGATTTTTTAAAATGTCAACTTTCCTGCCAGCCGTTCATTTTTATGTTGTAGTTCAGCCTCTGACCACTAGTTGGCAGCAGTGAGCCAGCCATTTGGC